TTTCTTCAGTGACAGCAGTTGACGGCCGTCCGCTGCGAGGGTCATCTTCCACACTTTCTCTGCCAGATTTAAAAAGGGCTGTCCATTTTTTCCCAGTGGTGTACGAAGGAGCAGACTCTCCTAAAACTTCATCCATGTCAGCTTTGATTTGAGATGGGGTCAACCCTTTTTTCGTCAGGTATTTTATGACCGCACGAGTCTCCGTCTTCTCCATTTTTGACAAAGCATGTGCACACTGACTATCTGCTAAGCTGTCGTGGAAAAACTTTCTGACAAATCAAGCAGAAATTGGTATCGTATGTTTAGCAAAGATGACTGAATTATTCCCACCAAAAATTAAATTGATCGCAGTGCCGCATATAGGCAAGGCCGCGAACTTTCCGAACAGCCCTCGTACAGACAAAAATGCAAGAATAAAAGAAATTTATTGATAATAAAAATAAAATAATAATAATTTGCTTACATTTTGAAGTAAGAAAGTTTTTAAAAATGCAATTTGCCTATTAGTATTTATATGGAACCAAATTTCACATTTTCAGAATGTAAGTTATATTAAATTAGAATAAAAATTAATCTGTAATAAAAAATTATCAAAATATATCACAAGCAAACAACTAAAATAACAATATAGTAGTACAGATTAGTTGGAATCCTGCCTCTTTGCTATTTCTGCTTGAAACTGTTATTTTATGGTAAGAGAACGCTAATTTTTTTTTGTGTTGTTTCTTTAATTAAAGTGTTTTCAATAAAATCCAGTACTGTGACACAGCATTCCAGCAGACTGTCAGACATATCTTTTTGTTTACTTCCTTTTGCATATTATCTAATATTTTATTTATATTTTATTAAATATTTACATTATTTAATATTTTATTTTATTACATTATTATTTTATTTTAATATCAAAATGAAACCATAACTAAGGATTAAAATTAATGTTGCCAGTTGAACTAGACATTAAAATTAATGTTGTCGGACTGTTTGACATAATATACATCATTTACTAATAATGAATGATTTATGCATTTATAGATTCATTATAATGAAACTATTCTTTCATAACGAACAAAATTTTTATTACATTAAAATGAAATTTTCTTATAGTGGTATTCATTAAACTAAAACATTCTTGCATTGAACTGAATAGGAAATTGATGGTGATTCAAGATATATTTGTTATACCAAAAATTTTGTTAAACTGTTGTTTGTTATACTGAAATTTCACTGTATTTGCTTTTCTTTTCCTTTTAGGGCATGATTCTCCATGGAGAATATGCTTATACTCATTTTCTACATGGTGTTGCACTGAAATTCTTCAATGATTCACCAATGTACACATTCCCTACTAAATTTTCCCAGCTTCTGTGTCATGCTTTTATGTTGTTTAGGACATATGAAATCCATTACACATGCACTCACATAGACACAAATTTTTCATTGGAAACTGGGGTTTTAGAAGTTTTGGGATTTTTATTTTTGGGATTTTAATTTTTCATGATTTTAGCTTTTTGGTATTTTGATTTTTTGGGATTTCAACATTTGGGATTGTGTCTTTCAGGATTATGACCCAAACTCAAAAACATAAATGTAAGAAAATATTTAAATTGAATGTATAAAATGAAAATATTCTATACATGATGTGGAATAATACAATATAGAAGGGCATTATTATTAAAATATACAAAAAAAAAAGAAAATTGTAAAAATAAAAGCAAAGAAGTTTCAAAAATTTACAACTTATTAAGAAATATTTTATGAAATCTTTTATAATTGAAGCTTTTTAAATTTTCACTGTTTTCACTGGCAAAGCATTTTCAGAACTGCAGAGTAATTAGATAAAATTATAATTTATATTTTTATTATTAGCTATTACTGAATTACAGTTATAAAATTAATTAAATCTGTAAGAAAGAAACAATATTCAAAATTAGCTTTACTTACCTGCAACTACTTCTTCGACTTGAGGTAACCTACATAATACATGTTCAATAAGACCAACTTCACTACATGCTTGTAAATTACGTAGACTTTTCCGTAATGTCGCTATAAAGACACTCCAAACTTCAGCCTGATAAAAATTAAATAATATTTTTAAAATTCAAAAATAATTTATATATTTCTTTCAAAAACTAGAATAATATAGTTTTAAATTAAAATATATATTATTTATAATAAATAATGTAGAAAAACAATAAAATTTAATAATAATTATTTTTTCCAAAGCCAAGAAGTATTTCAATAAAATAATGTATTTGTAACAATCTCCATTATATTATAAAAATTAAATAATATTTTCTCTAATAAACTGTATTGAATAAACTGATGTAAGAAATAAGACTATTATTTTTAAATAAAATATGATATCAGATGGCACCACCAAATGTTGCTGAAAAAGTTAAGCAACTCATTGCTGGATTTTTTGTTACTTGCACACTACATTCATTATATCTACACATAAGAAATCTTGAACATCTCAGGCAACCTAAAAGGTGTTTGTTTACAGTAGGTTTCAACTTAGAAACATTGAGTAACATACAATTTCTTATTGAGTGTATTCAAAATTTGTCAAAACAAAAAAAAAATTTAATGAGATAAAATTATATTTAAAAACTCAAACAAACAAGAATTTTGTGATAAAATAAATTAAAAAAGTTATAATTAGTTACAGTATTAAAAATCATATTAAAGATCACATGCTAAAATTCTTTTTAATAGGTACACAAAACTAATGACTAATTGGATGGATATTGAATGAAATTTATTACTCAATACTACATATAAATAAAATTAATATATAAATAGCTAATAAATGAATTAAAGAATTCTTTAATCAGGTGTTAGCACTTATTATTTAATCATTAAAGCAGGTCTGTTATTTAAGAAGACTATGATTTTTCTGTAATAAAACACAATACAACTCGTTCAATTTGGAATGTGAATAAAATGAAAACTTGTCTATTTTGGAAAAATTATCAGGACCCATCTTCTACATCACACATCTGTTCTGGCACATCTCAAGTACTTAGAAAGCCTGGAGATCTACAAAGCTACAAAGAGAGGCACTGCGATTAATTTTAAGGATACAGAATCTATCTGGAAAGCTATATTTGAACTTTCTTTTAATGTTTAAATCTCCAAATTTTGTTACTTATTATTTTTTATTTATTTATATCTAATTTGATGCTAGTCTTCTGCACAAACAGCCAACTTCTCACACACAACGTTAATGACTACCATAATTTTTAAATTCATATTTTATATTCTATGTTTGATGTTCCATTCTTCAATCTAAAGATGACCAATAAATATGGTCAAAAACATTCATTTATGTATTAAATTTTCCTCTTTTGCTGGATTTCTAGTATTTTTTTGAGAGGATGTTATATATAATTATCAATCTTGGAAAAAATAAGCATTTTCTTATATATTTTATTTTGCATAAAACTGAAAACAAAATCAATTTAATACTACAAAGTATTAATCTTAAAGAAGAATTTTTAATTTAGTAAAATGTTTTAGAAAATATTTTTGTTTTTATTATTATTACTATTGTTACTAAAATGTATTTACAGTATTACTATTTAATGGCATAGAATATAAATGAAGAAATTAAGAAAAATGAGAAAATAAATTAGATTGCCTGCTAGACAACTTTGAAAGCAACAATCAGTAGTCCAAATAAAATTTTGATTGTGTGGGATAACCAGACAACTGCTAATTTTGAATCCTGAACAGAGTTCCATTGAAAGTAAATCAATTTGAACAGTTACAAGTGCAATGCAATAAGTTATAATTGCCGTATAATTATGTCCATTATTATATATTATTTACAAATAAATTATAGATCTAAAATACAGGAAAAAGTTCACTAATTGAAAGACTACAGAAAAATTACTTGAATATAATAATTCTTCTATACAAATTTTAAAGATTATTAAATACAATAGAGCATCAATTATCCAAAAAATGGATTAACTATCAAAAATTTCAGAGAGTTCCAAAAATTATGACATTTTTTACACAACAACAATTGTCAGTAATCTCTCTATTAAAACTTGTGTTAGATTTTATTAATTATAATACAAATATAAAAGCAGGATTAATAATGCATCAGGCTTCTAATGCATCAAATGTTTTACTGCACCTATATAGAGAAGCATTTGTTGTATTAGAAACAGTGTTGATATGGTTAGAAGTATAATCTGACGGAAGTTTTCTAACTTTCATGATGATCAAATAAGCCAGAATTTTAACAGAGTTAAAAAAAACACTATGTAAAACAAAAGCAAAATAAGTAACTAAAAAAAAACTGTAATAAAAAATAATCTTTATGTGAGTAGTGTACTTTATTTAATATTAATTATACTATTTATTTATTATATTTATTTATATTTATTATATTTATATTATATTTATTTATTATGTATTTTTTACTTTGAATTCAAAGTTCCATCAGTATATTATAGATTGCATTATAAGACTTGTGCTTGTTTTTAATAGATTAGATAATTCTTTTATTTCATATCACTTGTATGTATTAAATTTCTATGTCTTAACTATTTTTTACTGTTGTATTAGAATTAAAATAAATTTTTTATTTTAATAAGGTATTTAGCTTTTTATTATTTTCCTAACAAGTGTGATCAGTTATCCAAAATTGTCCCATCCTGATTAATTTGATGTTCTAATGCAATTCATTTAATTATTGCAATATTTTTTAATTTCTTTGTTAAATAGTTAGGTTTATCGAGATGAAATTCTATACTCAACATTTGATCTGAATTTCCCGTATGTAATGTTTTCTTAAAGAAATATATATTTGATTTTGTATAAAGTGGAAATCATTACTAATTTATAAATATAGTAGGTTAATAGTAGATCAAACTTTCTCATGATTATAAATTATGTGGCATTGAAGCTATTCATTACAAAATTATAAAAAATCATTAAAAATAAATAAAAACTGGATACAAAATAAAGCTATAAAAAATAATTTATTTATTTTATTTACTAAATTTTACTTTTATTTACTAAATATTACTGAAAACAAATCAGCCTGAAGCAGGACTCAAACTCACAACTTCCACTTATCATGCTGTCATATTGCCAGTAGACACTGAGTTGTCTCCAGCTGGTGCAACAAGTAATCAAGTGTGATTATATCTAAATTAATACAGCAGTTCTGGAAGCAAAGATTGGATGAAGGTCCAAGTAGCATAACTGGCAACATGACTGCACAGTAAGCAAGAGTTGCAAGTTTGAGTCCCTCTTCAGGCTGATTCTTTTCTTCCAGAACCTTCTAAGTTAATTATTAAAATATTAATTTAATTATAATTATTAAATTTAGCAAGGATGAGAGGATGTGTAACACTAGTGCCAAATTACTATAGTGCAATATAATCAGGCAATTGTTTGGCTTTAATATATAACTATTAGGTTTTAGTTGTTGATATTTCTATAGTAATAGTTTGGATAGCATCAGTGATTTCGTTTTTCAGAAAACTAAATTGGAGATTGGTGTTGTATAGATGCAATCTTTTTCATAACTAATAGATATCTATGATCAATGTTTTCTCTAAGATTCTTGTAACTTTTTTATAGTAAGGCTTAATGCCATCAATTTTAGCTTAAATGAAGAAGTACAGACAGAGCTGTTCATAAGTCCCAAGTTTTCAGGATATGTCCAATTTGCAACACTGTCCCAATTGGAAAATTTTTCCCAGAATGTCTGATTTGTCCATTTCTACCTGAAAATATTCCAATTTATATTAAAAACAGTCAAATAAGAATTGTAGGCAGTGTCTGCAGCAGTGTGGTGAAGTCAATAAACAAATAGTCTAACTCCAACTCCAGCAAATTTGAAATGTGAGACTCTGACTCTAGCCTTTTCCTTTGTAAAATGTCACACTATGATTCCTTTATAAGATACCACCTGATATCGAAATATCTTTTATTTAAAATTTCTCTATGAAAAATTTATGGTGAGAATCAAATATGGATATAACAAATTGGAAAAACTGAGTACATAAAGAAACACAATACATCTTAACAGTCAAAAGAATTTCACTTTTATTTGTTAATTATCAAAAATTTATTTAAATTTAATCATTTTAAAGAAAAAAATTAAATACAATAAAATGCAAAAAAACAATGATTTAATGAATGACATAATAAACTGGTCCATAAAATAGTTTTCCCTGTTCCAGCTACTACAGGAATAGTTAATTTCCTACTGACAGTTGACTAAACTCAAGTATATAGAAGAATTTTAAAATATGAATTTGGAAAAAAATATCAGTCATCTTGAACCAATGCATACAATCATGCCCCAAGAACTTAAGCCAGTAAATAGTAAGCTGGAACAATCCTATTAATTACATTTTTGCAGTTTTCCTTCCTCTTTCAGTTTGTTGCAGTTAGATTCCAATCTTAATTTTATTGTTTTTTCACTGACTGTTTTAAGAGCAAATTATGTTATAGAAGCAATAATAAATGCTCATAAATAACTTGCAACCAATAGAAAGATAATGAAAAAACTAGTCAAATTAGTAAAAAAAAAAAAAACAATTGATATTCAAAAAAAAACATCGCTAATATTATGGGTAGAAGATATGAACAAGAAACGGTTGCCTTTAAATAAAACTGCACTTAAACACAAAGCCTTAAAAATATTTGATTATTTAAAACAAATGGGACAGACATCAGCTGCAGTGGCGTAGCGTGGGTGTCAGCCGCCCAGAGCGGAGGAAAATTTCGCTGCCCCCTTATTTAGGTATCTCAATTTAAAAGACTAAAATTCAGTTTCGTCACAGAATAAGTAATGAAAAATTCCGTGCTCATTTCAATCGGTCCGAATCGTAGGTGCGACAAAATTATGAAATGAAATGGTTCAAATTTTTACAAGATATTATTATTTATTGTGAAATTTTGCCGCCCCCTAAAAGTGTCGCCCTTGCCGCCCCCACTGCGCTATGCCATTGGTCAACTGATGAAACCAGTGTTAAATTCGTGGCTACTAATGGCTGGTTTGAAAAATTCAAAAAACGCCAAGTTTTTCTCTTTTTTAAA